TACGAGGAATACTTATAGAGAGGTAGAAATTTGAAAGGGTGTGGGAAACCGCCCTCTGAAACTAATTGCTTAACTCTACGTGTTTTTGAGTATTTGTCTCTAAATTCTATATACAACTAAGGACTTCTCAGTTAATTCTCGATCTATATCTTTGTATTGCTGGGCATTGTGGATCGCACAATATTTTGGAAGACTTCCGACAAGTCTAGCGCAACTAGGATGGTTGAAATTTCCCTCAGACCTTTCCTGGTTCGAGTATCGGAATGAGTCAACGATAAACGCTAGATCGCTTATTCGGCTTTGACTCTTTGTATTGTGGATTGCAAAATATCCTGAAAGTCTTACAAGATGTTCAGCACTATTAGATCCATAATTTCACAAGACCTGTTCTTGTTGAAACATTGTGTGACCTGACAATGAAATGTTTCAAAATTTTGCACATTTTGTTAAGAAAAGGAAAGGAGTTGCAAGAGACTTTGCGACATGTAACAGGAGGCATATAGTAATATAGGAATTTCCCTCAATCGCACACTAGATCACTTATTCCGTTATTAAACACTTTTGCCAATTACTCAACTCTTTTCTAGATCTACTTTACAATACTTATGTAAGAACTCTTCCTATCTAAATTATTAGCCTTTTCGGAGGGAAACATCATTTATATTCATTAAGTAGTTCAGCATAAAATATCATTCTAACGCAATACTATACATTTCGTGTCACTCCTGAGGAATACATAGAGAGAATCCCTTAGATCTTCATTCGAACATTAATAAAGAATTTCGGGGTATTTTGATTACGCATAATATAGTACTTAGATAGCACATAATTTAGGAACTATTCCGAAGACTAGTTCTAATAATATTCAATAGACTAGTACATACACTATCCGTAGACTCGTCCATAAACTGGTGTGCAGAATAGTCAAAATTCTAGTCCGAAGACTAAACTAGTCGATAAGCTAGTCTATTCTAAAGACTAGTCCTTAAAATACTTTATATACTATTCAATGTTATAGACTGAATAGCATACAGTTGAGTTTCTTCTCTAGGTCTTCCTCTATAACTGACAATAGTATAGTATTCGAAGAAATTAAACTTAAAATATTTATATTATCTTATTAAAAATCAAAAGTATAGCTAATCATGGTCAATTTGTTTAATCGTTAAATAGATCTAAATGACAACTTTAACACTATCTCTAGACTAAAAACATATTCAAATAAAATATGTATTTCTCTTAGATTTAAAGATAACGATATATTTTGTTGAACCACAAATTCTTGAAACAAATGTATTTTACACAAAAATAGCAGTATGCGATAGGGCGCTGAGTGAGTAATCGTTATCGTTAGTTAGAAATTAGAAAATCATTAAATAGAAGTTAAAAAAACAACAACTTTAAAAATTGCAACAAATGATAATGTTTTGAAAAATGTAATCTGCTAGACATTTCAAAGAAATTTTAATATTTTTATAACTACTTTTAAGTGAAATATGATAAATCAAATAAAAAGACAAATATTGAGTTATAATTTATTATACACCAATAGCCAACATGTGTTGGACTTTAATATAAAAAAACAAAAATATTGTTTTAAAACACTTTGAATTTTTTTTTTCAATTCTGTGAAAAAATACAATAAGTTTGATTTGTCAAAGGTTATTTTTGTTAAATTCTATTTAAATTAATCTAATAACTTATTTAATCGCAGAAAAAAAACAAACACCTGCTAAATATTTAAACATTTTGTTATCTCCACTAAAGTACTTTTGTATTTTTCCTTAAGTGTTTTAGTTTATTTCTTTCAGTGTATCACACACTTTTAAATGAAAACATTCATATATATTCCTATTTAAAATCATGCACGTTTGTTACAAGAACGTGCTTTAATCGTATTTAACACTTTTAGAAAACGTTTCTTAATCTTTTAATCGATTGTTTATTTACCTACTCATTATGTATTCGATTTTTTTTTCTTTCGTTTTTGGATATGGCTTTATTATACATACATTCAATCAATCAGTCAGTCACTCGGTCTTTTTATAGAGTATGAATATGTCATACGTTCTATAAGAAGTGATTATCGTTATAATTATTAAGAAATTATTTATTAATAATTGTTTATCTAATCGTTTATTAATAGTATTGACTTTTAATTATGTTTGTTAAAAGCAAACCTTATGAGGAATAAAACTACTAATGAAGACTTATTTACATGCGTTTGATGTAATAATTTACATTTTTATTGGAAAATATTGTAGAAAAAGTAAAATATTGTAGTGTAAAGTAGAATTAGAGTTAACCTTGATGGATCCTATCTATAACAAATCGTATATTGTGATATCTTACAAAACTCCATTAAATTTGAAAGAACCTTTTAATGAAAATAATAATCTGTTATTTTTCAATAATAATTTTTATAATAAATATTCAACGAGCAGATTTTATACACATTTCACTTACGCAGAGGGAAAAATACGTTTTCAAATATACACGCCTGGCACCAAACTGACACCAAAGTATTTATAATTTTTCAATAACATCCGTTGTCTAAGTATGTATTGATAGTTGTCAAATCAACAACAAAACTATAAAAAATACTCGACGTTATTAAATTAACAAACAAATAATAATAATGAGTTACCAAAGTGACAACGTTATGTTGTCAAACGGATCGCTGCGTTGTCGAAATGACAACAATTCGTTGACGAAATTACAACGATGCATTGACGAAATGACACAAAGCGTAATCGAAATGACAGCTATGCGTTGTTGCAAAGACAACGATGAGTTGTCTTACAACGGTAGTTGTCAAAATGATAACTGGATGTTATTTAAATTTTATGCACATCCGTTGTCTAAATATTAATAAACATGAGCTCACTTTTGACAACGAATTATATCAATTTCGGTACTTTTCTACCGGCTTTTCCCTCTGTGTCGAGTACAGGTGTCTTTGGCCAAGCCCTTGTTGGACCCATGAGGTCCAAATTCAACACTTATATATTTAATTCAAATTTTCAATTTCAATCGAAATATGAAGCGTCATCAAATATTTGCAATTTCACTAAATATTTCAACTTTCACTAAAAAAGTTTTGAAAATTTAAAAACTCACAACAAGTTCGCAGAATCGCAAGAAATTTTAAAGCTTCACTGAGAATTGAAGATTTAAATGAAAATTCACTGAAAGTTCGAAATTTAATTTCACTAAAAATTCGAAGTTTTACACAATTTAACATTTCACAACTAATTTATAACTTCGCCAATTATTCGACATTTCACGAAAATGTATAGTTAAAAGAAATTCGAAATTTCGCTAAGAATTCGACGTACAAAACTTTCGAAATTTCTCATAAAATTTCCAATTTCACAAAAATTTCAAAAAGTTCAAAATTAAATTTCAATTAAAATTCGTCAAAATTTCGCTAAAAATACAAGTTTTCACTAAAAATTTTTAGAATTTAAATTCGAGATTTTACTAAAAATTCCAAATTTCACTAAATTTTATTAAAAATTCGATGTTTCTGAAATTTCACTAAAAATTCAACGTTTCACTGAATTTTTTTAGTTTTGTACTTTAAATAAAAATTCAAAATTTCACTAAAAATTCAAAATTTCACAAAATTTTAACAACGTTATACTTTAAATTAGAAATTTTACTAAAACATCTAAATTTCACTTTTGAAATTTCACATAAAATTTTAAATTTCACTTAAAATTTCACAAAAAATTTTAAATTTCACTAAAATTTCACTGAAAGTTCAAAATTAAATTTCAATTAAAATTCGTCAAAATTTCGCTAAAAATTCAAAGTTTCACTAAAAATGTTTATAATTTAAATTCCAGATTTCACTAAAACTTCGAATTTCACAAAATTTTATTAAAAATTCGATGTTTCTGAAATCTCACTAAAAATTCGACGTTTCACTGAAATGTTTTAGTTTTGTACTAAAAATTCAAAATTTCACTAAAAATTCAAAATTTCACTAAAAATTGAAAGGTTCACTAAAAATTCGAAATTTTACTAAATTTTATCAACTGTTCACGTAAAATGTATAGTTATACTTTAAATTAGAGATTTCACTAAAAACTCTAAATTTCACTTTTGAAATTTCACATAACATTTCATATTTCACTAAAAATTTTAAATTTCTCAAAAATTAATGAAATTTTTAAATTTTCTATTTTTCTATTTCTATTAAAATTCGTCAAAATTTCGCTAAAAATTCAAGGTTTCACTAAAAATTCCAAAATTCACTAAATTTTATTAAAAATTCGATGTTTCTGAAATTTCACTAATAATTCGAAGTTTCACTTAAATTTCTTAGTTTTGTATTTTATATAAGAGATTTCACTAAAAATTCAAAATTTCACTAAAATTCGAAATTTCACTAAAAATTCGAAGTTTCACTAAATTTTAACAATGTTTCACAGAAAATGTATAGTTATACTTTAAATTAGAGATTTCACTAAAAATTTTAAATTTCACTAAATCTAAGAATTCAAACAAATTCGAAATTTCACTAAAAATTGAAATTTCACTTAAATATTATAAAAATACGAAATAACACCAAGAATTGAAAAAATCCAATATTCGAATTTTTAGTAAAATTTTGTCGATTAGTGTAATTGTTATTAACACCAATACATCCTAATGAAAACATAAAAATATCTTTAATTCCAAAATACGTTCCACACTCGTAAAAGCCGAATTTTATTAGCCGAAAAAAATTTCACACACACATATCTATGTGTGTACCTTTATATGGGGGGTGTAGATTAACGGCAGCAAAATATATTTATGATCGTGAGGGGACAAAAAGCCGCCACAAATAAAAGAAGTGAATGAACGAAACGAAGCGAGCGAACACTTCGAATCAGTATTGAGTATTATTGAGTTGTAAATAAATAAAAAAATAACATTAAAAGCAATTAAATGATAAAAGTAACAAAAACAATATTTAAAAGTTTATAAAATGCTACTGCTTCAGTAGCAAAAAGTTTAGTAGCACATTAAAACCACAACGGTGGCGGTCGGCATAGTAAAACCACGTAACAATACAACTCGAAGTTTTTTTTTTCCAAAAAAAAATGAAAAATATTTAAAATAAAACGAAAGTAAAAAAAGGATCGTTATTTATATTACAAGGAAACTCTTAAGTGCATTTCTATTTAAAACTCAATTTTAAGAGAATTTCTTTTTGAAAATATTCTCTGTAAATTATAAACATTTTAAGAAATGTATGTTTAAAGAAGAAACGAAAGAAAGAAATAAAAAATAAACTAAAGAGTGTATTTATTATATGTTGAGAAAGTATCTCAACGATTGTTGGTTGCACATAGGCCATCAACAACACATCTCATATCATTAGCAGCAGCAAAAGCAGAAGTATTTTCAACCTCAAACCGGCAAGATCGTGATCTTAACGTAGCGCGCATTTACAGCAAATTGTTAGTATTTACCGCTGTTTAGTGTTTGTTTTCTTATTTTTATTTTTATAACCATAAATTTTTCAAAATAAAATAATCAAAAAGAAGAAAAATTTTGAAAAAAAATATTTAACGTAAAAACAAGATTTTAGTGTTAGGTTAGGTTAGGTTAGGTTGATAGGAGGATGTATACTACATCAAATCCGAAGAAATACACCTAGGCCACTATCGGGCCTGTTGTGCGCTCCAATTCAAGAAAAAGAAAAAAAAAAAAAAAAAAAAAAAAAAAAAAAAAATTGTTTACTGAATGTTCAGAAACTCAGTTTCCTGGACGTAATTCCTAAGAATCTTCCAATCGGTGTTGGTTAAGAATGTTATTTCCGGAATAACATCACTTCCAAGATACTTGGATCTAACTTCGACGAATGCCTGACAATGGCAAAGAAAGTGCTCCAGAGTTTCACTGTCCTCTCCACATGCTCTACATTCGTCTGAATTCGCACGTCCAATTTTGTATAGATGTGCTCGTAATCCTGTGTGTCCACTGAGAATACGTACCATCATACTAACCTCAGACTTGCTCATTTTGAGAAGATTTCTCGTCTTGCTCTCATCAGGGTCACCCCATAGAATCTTTGTGGTTCTACCCACCGTTTCATTATTCCAAGAGGCCTTATGGGATTCTCTCATCCATATTTTTAATTCAGCTTTTGTTGCGTCGAATGGTTTTGCGTTTGTCAGATTAACTACATCGAGCTCCCTTCCCTTTAAAGCTATTACATTCGCCCTTTCGTTGCCGATTACTCCCGAGTGGCCTGGTACCCATATGATGTGAACCTTACCTCTGGGAGAGTATTCAGTTAAAGCTTTCTTACAATCCAATACGGTCTTAGATTTAATTCTATCACCTGATATCGCACAAATTGCCTTCTGGCTGTCGGTAAATATATTAAGCCCTGTGGGCGCCATATTTATTCTAATCCAATTTACACATTCCGTTATTGCTCGTACTTCTGCCTGGAAGCTTGTGTTATGATTAGGTAAACGGTGGTATATTTCTGTTTCTGGGTCTTCAATATAGAACCCCAGACCCACTTTGTCCCCTAATTTAGAGCCATCCGTGTAGCAACGGATTCCTACTGGTATTTGCTCTAATGTTCCGCTTGACCAAGACATTCTATCTGGGATTAGCGTTTCAAAGTTTCCGACATATTCAGTGTCTGGTATGCGATCAGGCACGTCCGATGAATGTGTATAACCTTCCAATGTGTCCAGTATACATTGATGACGTGTCCTATAACCGTTTTTGGCCAGTTCGCCTAAAGTAAAGAGCCGTTCGGCTGTAAGCGCCGCCTCATATCTTATATATGTTTCAATGGGTGGAATATCTAGCAACGTTTCCAGAGCCTTGGTTGAAGTAGTACACATGGCACCACTTATACCCAAGCAGCATGTACGCTGAACTCCCTGTAGTAGTTTGATATTACACTTTTTGTCCAAAGCAGTCCACCAGATTATTGAAGCATAAGCTAGAATTGGTCTAATTACACTTTTATAAAGCCAATTTGTCATAGTAGGACTAAGACCCCATTTCATGCCTATGGTTCTCCTACATATCGCCCAGCACCGATGTGCCTTGTTGATCCTATCCTCTATGTGGTGTCTCCATTTTAATTTCCGGTCAAGTATTACACCTAAGTACTTAACTTTGTCTGTCACCGGTATCTTCTTGCCCAAGAAGCAAGGTTCAGTATATGTAGAAATTTTTGTCTTTCTTGTGAAAAGACAGATTTCCGTCTTCGCCGGGTTAACATTGAGGCCTCTCGGTTGAGCCCAGCTCAAGGCCGTATTCAGAGCCTCCTCAGCTCTTCTACACAAGTAATTTGGATCCTTTCCCTTTAAAAGTATTACGACATCGTCTGCATAGCAGACAGGTCTAAGTCCTTTCTCGGTTAGGGTCCTTAGGAGGCTATTAATCGTGGTGACCCAGAGTAAAGGTGACAAAATGCCACCCTGTGGTATACCGCGAAATACCTTTTTCCTGATAGTTATATCGTACATCTCGCAGCTTATCCATCTGTTCCTTAGCATGTAGTTGATCCAGTTACGGAGCACCCGGTCAACATAAAACTGGTCTAGGGATTGGATAAGGGTATCAGTGTGCACGTTATTGAAAGCGCCTTCGATGTCAATGCATACTGCCAGTGTATACAGTTTGCTATCGAAAGATTCACCTATGTAGTGGACAACTTCATTTAAAGCGGTTTCCACCGATCGTCCCTTTACATAAGCATGCTGCTTATATTTAAGGTCATTGTATGGTATGCTGCTTTTAACCATGCTATCGACTATCCGTTCCAAGGTTTTAAGTAGGAAGGACGTAAGACTTATCGGTCGATAGGACTTAGGTGTCGCATAGCTAGGTTTCCCTGGTTTGGGTATAAATATTACCCTTGCATCCTGCCATTTAACTGGGGTATATGCCAATTTTAAGCATGCAGTGAATATCTGTGACAGATGTACGGAAACCAGTCCCGCCTCCATCTGCAAAAGTGCCGGGAAAATTCCATCCGGCCCTGCAGCTTTATAGGGAGCAAAGCTCTTGATTGCCCCTTTCACCATGTCAGTTGTAATAACTATTTCCGTGTTACCCTCCCCTTCCTCCAATATCGGTTCATCTATGTTATTCGATATACCGGGTGGGAAATGAGAATCCATTAGGAGTTTCATTGTCTCCTCCATATCCTCAAGCCTCCTGCCCGTGTCATCGATCATAGATTCCGGTTGGACATGAGTTTTGGATAGGAATTTTTTTATCTTCGATACGTCATTTACGCTATCTACCTGTTCACAGAAAAGTTTCCAGGAGTCTCGTTTGGCTTTTCGAACGATTTTCTTATATTCACCAAGTTTATTACGATACTCATCCCAGTATACTGCGGTCTTTTTACGCCGTGCCCGGTTAAATAGTTTGCGAAGAGTCTTCCCAAGGTTCCGGATCTCCCCAGTTACCCAGGGTTTTTCCTGGGCAGATCTCCGCTCTCGCAGAGGGCAGCTGTCCTCGAACGATTCAACCAGGGCACTTGTGAACGTTTCCACTTTGGCATCTATATCCTCTTTATTTCGACATTGAAAAGTGTCCTGACCTAAACGGTTCTTTAGTAAGGTCCCGAACATTGTCCAATTAGTTTTAGACTTATTCCGAAACTTTATCGGCTTTGGTGGTGGCCTTAGTATTTTGAATCTTATGTACCGATGATCAGAAAAGGAGTGCTCGTCCGAAACTCTCCAATCCTGAATTTCGTTTATAAGCTCTTCTGAACATATAGTTATATCTAATACTTCTTCTCTGATTCTATTGACGAAGGTAGCTTTATTACCTAAGTTCAATGTTATCAAGTCTTTAGTATTAAAGAAATCCATGAGGGCTTGTCCCCTGCGATTGGTGTTTGTACTACCCCAAGCTACATGATGCGAGTTGGCATCACAACCTATTACAATTTTCTTATTTTTTCTTTGTGCCTCTTCAACCAGTTTCATCAGATCCGACGTTGGTGGTAGTGTCGGAGAATCGAAAGGCAGGTAAATAGATGCAAGGAATATGTTGCCACGACCTTGCTTCAGCACCGTTGCATCCGATGTTGATAATCCTGTTGAGAGGAGAAAACATAAGTTCTTGTGACATAAGATACATGTTCTCGGGCGAGATCCTGTATCAGCGTAGAAAAGTTGGAAATTTACGTGATTTAATCCAGAAACCTTGTTGCGAATCGTCCAAGGTTCCTGGATTAAAGCTATATGTATTTTACCTGTGTTGATTTTAGCCATCAGAGCGTTGGTAGCTGTCTCGCTCCGATGGAGGTTTATTTGGATAACCTCAATCATGGTCATCCATTAAACTGTCTTCCAGCGAGTTGGTGGTCACCTCCTCGCTTTTTGGATTTGACTCCTCCGGATAGCCTGAAGTGGCTATTAATGCAGTGGGTACTGTTGATGGCACTGCGGTGTCCTTATCAGGCATAGGAATATCAATATTTTTAATAGACACATTCCCAATTCTGGAGAGCATTGCTGTTCTGTCTTCTGGCGGGTGAGTGATTTCCTCCTCGCTTTTAGGATTTGACTCCTCAACGTTGCTAGTACTTGCTAATGATGCTTTGGGTACTGTCTTAGGTGTTTTAGTGTCCTTGTCGGGGCCGGTTTTGACAGCCCTTTCAATCGGCGCCTTCCCAATTTTGGAAAGGGCAACTACACTTTCTTCTGGCGAGTTAATGGTAAATTCCTCGATTATAGGATTTGACTCCTCAACGTTATCAGTAGTGGATACTGATGCTGTGGTCTTAGGTTTTTTAGTGTCCTTTTCGAGGCTTGTTGTAACAGCCCTTCCAATCGGCACCTTCCCAATTTTGAATATGACAGATTTAGAGGCGAAGTAAGCCCTACCTTTATTCTTGGCAAGACTAGCCATGGATTTCTGGTCGATACCTATTACAAATAAAGTTCCCTCAGGTTCTTCTTTCCTGTAAAAGACATCCCATTTTTCCACGGCCAGCTCAGCATTTTGACCTCCAAGAATTTCCAGTATACGTTCATTAGCCAGTTTACTGCCCCATCCTTTTATGTAGACAGTGGACTTTAGGAGCACCGGAAGCTCGCTCTTCTTTGCCAGTCCCAGCCTAGCGCCGTCCCAGGGAGGAGGGATACTTTCCACCAAGTTCTTTAGGGTGCTAACACATTGGTGAGATGCCAACCTCATCAACATCACGCCCATGCTGAACTCGCAGCTCTCGCTCTCTATTGGTTGTTTGCCCTTTGAAGCGATTGCATGGTCCACTATCTTATTGTTGACCAGGTCTTCTATTTTACTCTGTTGGTCTATTGGGATTTTGCCTGTCGGATTACCGGCATCGTAAACTGCATAGCAGAGATCGTCCCGGTGCCTACTTCTGGCAACTTTGGCGTAAGATGGCGGCTCTTTTCCTTTTCCTCCGTCTAGCTTCTCCTTCCTCGTTTTTCGGGGC